TTGATGATTAAATGGTATTATCAAGGAAATAGTTATCAAAAGGTGTCGGACATGTTTGCTGCTCTGTATCCGAATAGACCGATACCTGGAAAATCTACAATCGCAAGGAATATCCAGAGATTTGAGACCAAAGGTACCCTAATAAATTAACTGCAGATGTGAAGCAAGGCAGGAACAAAGAGAAGATGCAAGAAATGATACCGACATGGAAGTTTTATTGTGCGTGGAAGAGAACGATGGAAAGATCAGCACAAGGAAACTTGAGGATGAAATAGGAATAGATCACACTAAAGCGTTTCGAATTGTTGAAACGACATAAATACTATTCCTTCAAATATGAAAAGCACCAAGAGCTACGAGATGGGGACGAAATACGGCGGCAGGCGTTTTGTTTTGATATGATGGAAAAAGCAAACACGGATAGGGAATTTTTAAAAAACATATGTTTCATATTGTCGAAACAAGGACGCAATATCCACAGAAAGTAAATGTTTGGACATGGGATATTCGGACGCAATATTATCGGGCCATTATTTCTTCCGCGAAATTTAAATGCAGAATATTATTTGGAACTACTCGAAAATCATATTTTACCTGCTTTACATGTTGCCGCTAGGGAAAATCAGGAAGTTTGGTACCAAATGGATGGCTGCCCGGCACATAGTACCCTGGCTGTTCGGGAATATTTAGACAATATTTTTAACGGAAACGTTATTGGCCTAAATCATACAGTAAATTGGCCAGCAAGGTCTCCTGATATTTCGCCAAATGATTTCTTTCTCTGGGGCCATTTAAAAAACAGGATATATACAAGGATAAAAAATACCCAAATCTAGACGAGTTGAAAAATGCTATTTCTGCCGAATGCAGTAGAATTTCAGTTTACCAACTAGCGAATGTAAGAAGAGAATTTTATGATTGCCTGGGTTATTGTCTAGCAGTCGATGGAGGAATATTTGAACATCTTAAATCCTAAAGTTCTAACAATTTAATACTACCTAAATTAATAAGTTATTGAATATTGTAATAATACTATAATTAACCTTGTAATTGCTTTATTTTACTTTAATTCATATTAATTTGTATTTATAAATACATCTTTAAGATTTCCGATGTAGGAATGAGTTTTCAATAATAATAAAGCACTAAATAGGTAAATTTCTGAAATGACAACTTCATTTGACAGTTACCTTTTACCTTGACTGGTGCTCATAAGTAAATACAGGGCCATAAGAAAGGAGAAATATTTAAAAAGAAATCGGTGATAACTCGTAAACGAGCTAATCAAAAATATCTAAAGTTATTCTTTTGAATGTGGGTTTGAGTGCTCTTCAATAAACTTAAATAGAATTATTCTCTAAAATAATTAGGGAAGTCAATAATTGACCCCATTAAAATTTACATGGGATTTCCTGTGTCCCGTCCGACGATGCAACACCCGGTATATCTACACTAATCAGAACTTAAAAAATTCAGATTGTATTAAAAATAAACCCCATAAATTTTTCATGAATGGCTGTGTTAAAAATTTCCATATACCTGCATAATCTGCATATACCCTGCTGGTCATCCAATTTATGTGGTCTGGATTTTAATGCGTGTGACAAAAAATAATATAAATGACCGGTTGACAGACAGAGAGACAAAATCAAAAGAGGCATACAGTGTTGCCGGTTTTTTACGTTTATAGGAAGATGTGTGTAGAAAAATATAAACTATTTTAAAAACTTTATGTATGTATACTACTGAAATGATGATAATATACCTAAATTAAATATAATCTATTACACCTGTAGTAAAATGAGTAACGAATAGTGAAAAATAAAGTTTCAACCCTAGATGCAACATTTTTCATAAAGGCCTACTTGTGCGGTTTGCAATTTTGATGAAAAATGCGGCAATACTGTGTAGAAGAAATGTGTCGATCCGATTTTTATCTCTTTTTAATACATTTGATTTTCCATTAAGCTGTTTTACACTGCTGTTAAAATCCAGACCGCACAGTTTCGATGACCAAATCGGTATAGTAATGGTGTGTTATATTCAAACCATTCTAATCTTTAATAGATTAACCTGAAAGATTTAAGTATATAGATATGTATCAACTAGATATAGGAAGGTAAAAAGAATACACTAGTATTAATCACTTGTGATAATATGGTTAATTATTTTGAATTCTAATAGTAAAAGTATACAATCACTTTTCATAATTACTTTCTATAGTAATCATTGTTAATTACGCTGTGCGTAATTAATTGAACATTATATTAGGTTTTGTTACATTAGGTACTTCTTATAGTTCCTGAATTTTCGAAACGAATAAGTAGTAACTTTACTTCTTTGTTTAATACAGTGTAATCATAAAAAATATAAAATAATTGGTGAAGCCTTGACATGCTGTTATAATAATTACTGCAAAATAAAAACACTGCAACTTATCGGTAGCTGCGAAATCAACAAAGGGACTTTTAAGGATAAATCCGCACTATATACGAGGGTTGTGTTTTATATTTTGCATATAGAAACGTAGTAGGTGCCTGTAAACATACTATATCAAATGTCAAAATAATGCCAAGGTTTAGACTGCTTCGTTTAAAGCCGTCCCAAAATTGAATTTTTGACATTGACGAATCAGAGAAACTATGAAAGAACAGAATACAGTTAAAGGCAATCGGTGTTAAAAAACTACACCGCACCGGTTGAACGCAGGAAACTCAAAAAATATATACAATATTGTCAATGGTGATTAATCTTAGATTTCCTCTTATAAACCCGAAAATAAATGTCAATCGGCTGTTTGGGTGTTCTGAGATGAACCAAAACCGACGAAAGTTATCCGTTCTCGAACTGTTTCCAAAAAGCTAATCCAAGAAGATCGACAGTCACATATTTCTTTATTTTTCTTATTATTCTTATTATCTTCCCCTAACCTAAGTCCTAACGACTTTTTTTTCTTTGTTTTCAAAAATTAAGAATGAACATGGTCAGAATGATCAAAGGTTTCAGTCCCCAGGAGATGCAGTCAGCGGCTTCAAAAACGCAATTTTGAAAGTACTAACAAGTGAGTGGAATAACTGCTTTCAGAATTGGTTCCAACGGATGCAAAAATGCATTTATCTTCATGGAGAATACTACTGATTTGAAATCTACTAATTTTTTTCTAATTCTGTAAAAGACAGTATTGTATAATATCTATCACGTTTCAAAAGTTAATAAACTAACTCGCGTAGTTTTACTCAATCGTGAATTAGTTTATAGTGTAGTGTTCGAGTAGTAGTAGTTTTTAGAGCAGGTTATAGGAAGTTTTAAGTTATACATTTTCTCTCTCTCTTTCGACATTAAATAAAACTTAAAAATACCTACATAATATTTATCTTTTTAGTGTTTTTTAATTAATTATTAATTTCACTCAAAATGAGTTATTTGGGTCATAAATGACCTAAATACAAAATATTTTCATGGTGTCTGTCTGTCTGTCTATCCGGCTGTCTGTAACACGATAACTCAAAAACCGCTAAACCGATTTTAACCAAATTTGGCACAAAAATACTGTGGCACTTGAGAATCTAGCCATTAGATTTTGGTGGGGGTGGGTGGTTGGTAAGGGGGTACGAGAGGGGGTTAAAAATTAAAAAAAAATCGTAACTCCAAAATTACAGTAGCTAGCGAAACGCGGTTTTCAATTTAAGATTAGGAATAATATTTGCAACAAAATTTGTAATAATACGAATTGTTTTTGAGATAAAAAAATTGGAAAAATTCCTTTATTTTGAAACTAAAAGAACTGCCTACCAACTTTTTATTAACATATTTTAGTATGGGCGGCTATACGTGCCTCCAGGCGCCAATTTTGTGACAGACACCTTCGAATAATTTACAGACAAAAGTAATTTATATTATTTTATATAATTAAACTAGTACCTAAGTATTTAGAAATCTTCATTTATAAGTACTTATAAGTTGCAAGTTTAAAATATTAATATGAAGAACTTTAAAGTATCTTTTTTTCAGTATTAGAAGCGGACTGAGCAAATTTGACGCTCTATTATTTGAAATTTTATTACGGTTTCTGGCATTTCTCGCCCCTTTGAGGATCGTGATCTGGAAGCAAATGGTTTTATAGGGTGGAGGAATATCTAAATAATTTAATCTATAGAAGTAGGAGTTATTTAGCTTCTCTATACAGGGTGTCCCAGAAATAAGTGCAAGTATTTTAAGGGGCGGTAGAACTCTATAAACGAAACATATTTTATCTTTATCGTTTTTCAAATAAGTCCAAAATAACGAGTTATTTTACTTTGAAAATTTCCAAAAAAAATTGATTCTTTTTTGCTAAAATTTTGAGAATCACTGGATCTTTTCTGGATTTTCTTTCTTGTAAATTTAATCTAATACCTATGTTGCCATATTATCAACAAATTATGTTTTTTAACTAAAAACTAAAAAAAAATCCAAAAAATTTCGAATTTTTACATTTTTTTCGCGAAGAAAACCTCATAGGCGTGTTTCTCGGGTTGAACTATACTACCAGTTAAGATACTTGCACTTATTTCTGGGACACTCTGTATAAGAGCTAAATTATTTTAAACTTTCAATAATTATGTAATAAATTTGATTGTAAAGTAAATATTTTCACTTATTTATAGACAATTTGTAAATAAAAAATATGTATCTATTTTTTTTTTCTTTGCCCAATCAAAAGTTTCCGTTTTTTTTTCAAAATTACGGCAACGGCTACTTCGAAACACCGGTCCCCGATAGATCACCGAAGTTAAGCAACGTTAAACGATGCGAGTAGATCAACGGGTGACCATCAGGAAATTCTGTCTTGCTGTTGTTCCATGGCAAGTGTCACTTAACTGACAATATACGTCTGTTTCTAATCTAAAGACATCTTGCAAAGTTTCACAATTAAAGACAATGCCATTCCAAGAAGATATCTCTTTAGTAATCTTCTCTGTGTTCATTAAGTATTCTAATATCCATGTTTTTTTTTCCAGAACCAGGAACACCTCAAACCTCAGATCGTGGGCGGTCTGGCCAACGCCGAGATCTACTGTCGCGCACTGGCCAACATCTACTCTGATCCCAACTACCATAACCTCAATCACTGGGCCATCCTGCAGACGTTATCGAGGAAGGGGTCGTACGCGGAGCCCCTGGACGGGTCTCAGTTGACCGAGACGACGCTCATTCAGACCAACCCGTTGAGAATGGTGAGGATTATACAGGGTGTCCGAGGGGTAAACCGCTGACAAATATTTCTGTACACTAATGTCAAAAATACGAAAGAAATGCGAAATAATTTCGTACTAATACCAATAATACCACGAATAATGCCAAAAATGTCAACATCTTGTACACCAAAATACACCAGAGGTTTATCTCTCGAGGGCGTCCCAGAAATAAGTACAGGTATTTTAACTGGTAGTATATTTCGATCCAGGACAGGGCACATCAAGATACGATAACTACATATTAGCCTACAGCGGAAGAGCTAAACAAGATCGAGCACAATCGGGAGTAGGAATTCTACTCCACGAGAAATACGAACAATGTATAGAAAGCATAGACTACATTAACAACAGAATCATTAAAGTATCTCTAAAAATCAACCACAGGCAAACACACTTAATAAGCACATACACACCGGATATAAGCAAACCCATAGAGGAGAGCGAAACATTTTACCAAGACCTACAAAATACTATAGATAAACTAAACAACACGGACAAAATTATTATACTCGGGGACTTGAACGCCAGAATAGGCAGGGAAGTGATACCAGGTATAAAACAAAAATACAATGAAGAGATAACCAACGAAAATGGAGAACTCCTGATAGACTTCTGTGCAAGAAACGAGCTACGAATAAACAACACGTATTTCCCCCACAAAGAGCAACATAAATATACATTTAGGAACACCAGGGATCAAAAGTCGATGATTGACTACGTAATAAGTAACAGGACAATTATACCATCACAAGTAATAGATGTAAGGGCACTCACCTCAGCGAACATAGGCACAGATCACAGCCTACTACTGTGTAAAATGCTCATGGAAAAGCCCCACAGGACCAAAAAACCCCCAGTAACCATCGAAAAATTCAACATTGAATCACTGACAGATGATAGCACGAGAAACCTGTATGAGAACCGATTAACAAACAAACTGAAAGGACTTAACATGAGTGAAGGCGATGTGGAGAGCTGCTGGAATAAAATCAAATCGTGTATCGTAGAGGCAGCCGAAGAATCCATTGGCAAAAGAAAAGTCAACATAAATGGAACCAATAATAGCAAAAAACCCTGGTTCTGTCACGAAATTAAAGAACTTTCTCAACAGAAAAAGAAATCCTATCTCAGATACAGGAGCTCACCAACGACAGAAAAACGCGTCGAATATACAGAAGTGAGAAACAGAATCAATGCCAGAATCAAAGCCATAAAACGGGATTACTGGGCAAAATTTACAAGCGATATGGATCACGACCTATACGGAGCACAGAAGAAAGTCTGGAAGATGCTTAAGAACAGGAAAAAGCCAGTAAATGAGTTTGTGCAAACAAAAGGAGTTACTAAGGATGTATGGGAGAGCTACTTCAGGAAACTTTACAACACCGAAGAAGTCATAAACGTCGAAAACTACGAGACAAACCATCAAATAACACTGAACGAAGAAGAGGTAATGGCAAAAATCAAAAAATTGAAAAACAGAAAAGCCCCCGGAACAGACCTTATACCAAATGAACTTCTGAAATACGCCGGACCTGAACTAGGAAAACATTTAAAAATCCTTTACAACAAAATCTTAGAAACATCGGAAATACCTACGGAATGGCACAAAAGTATAACTATCCCTATATTCAAGAAAGGACAGAAGACGAACCCAGACAACTACAGAGGCATAACACTGCTGAACACAAGCATGAAACTCTTTACGGGTATTTTGAAGGAGAGACTTGAAACACAAATAACAAACAAGGAAGAACAACAAGGCTTCAGACGAAACAGATCCACGACCGATGCCATATTCATTATCAAACAACTAAAAGAAAAGTCAATTGAATTTAATACACCAGCATACGTCTGCTTCATCGACCTCACCAAGGCATTTGATAGGGTGCGCCTTTACGACATCGTCAATATACTAATGGCGAGAGAGGCGCCAGACACCATTGTAAGAGCGATCCACAACCTAAACATGAACAACAGGACTAGAGTAAAGGCAGGAGACACTTATACGGAAGAGATACCGACACCAGGAGGCATCAGACAAGGTGACAGCCTTAGCCCATTTCTGTTCAATCTCTTAATGGACAGAATTATAGAGGAAGTATCATCACTAAATATAGGATACCGAATGGGACAGAAAAGAATCAGCATGGTATGCTACGCCGATGACGCAGCCATTTTCGCGGAAACGGAGGACGACCTGCAGAAACAGCTTCACAGATTCTACCAGGTCAGTCAAGCGATGAATATGACCATATCTACAGAAAAAACGAAAAGCATAACCTTTGCTAAAGACCCCGTGAGATGTAAGTTGGTAGTTCAGGACAAAATCATCGAGCAAGTCTCACAATTCAAATACCTGGGTATGGATCTGTCGAGCCACCATGATCCAGCGAAGGACTTAAGAAGCCAGATCAACAAAGCGACTGCCATGTCGGGCTGCTTAAGGCAAACAATATGGGCGAACGAATACATGAGATGGGATAGCAAGGTAAAGATATACAAGACTTGTATCAGACCAATCATGACATACGGAATAGAAACCAGAGAGGAAACCAACAAAACGAAGAGCATGCTACGAGTAGCCGAGATGAAAACGCTCAGGACAATAATGGGAAAAACAAGAAGAGACCGAATTAAGAACACCGACATCAGGGAACAATGTGAGGTGCAAGACATAGTAAGGTGGGGCAGACAAAGAAAAAGAGGTTGGTACGCCCACGTGAGAAGAATGGATGAGAGAAGACTGCCACGAATTGCATTAGAAGGGAAACCAACAGGGAAAAGAGAACCTGGAAGACCACCTAAGAGATGGAAGGACAGCTGGCAGTCCACCTCCCAAGAACTGTTACAGAGGACCCATCAAAATTAACAGATCGCGAGATCTTAAAAATGAATAAGAAGAAGAAGAAGAAGATATTTCGATCCCAGAAACATGAGGTTTCGCGAAAAAAAATTTTGAGAATTAGTTCAGTCATTGGGGATTTTTGCTTGGAAAAAAGTCCGGAAGTTTTGCAACTTTGCAGGTTTATAGGTTTTGGGGTCCCTAAAACTAAAATCTATAAATTGCACATTTCCAGACTTGCCGCCGGCGCCGCCATCTTGCCAAGATGGCGCCCAAAATCGGTATTTTGTGAATATCTTGAAAACTATGCGTTTTTCGCGAAAATTTAAAGAGAATAAAATTTCCCATAAAAAAGTTTTATGAAAATGTTCGCTAAAGTCAGCTGTTTAGGCACAAAATCACTGGAAATTTTACAATTTTGCGTAAAATATGATATATTATGTATAGTCGATTTTCCGAAATCAAATGTCGATTAGGGTTCACTAAAACTAATTTTAGTTTAGTTTCTTCAGTTTTGTCATAAAACAATGGCGTATCATTAATTCGCTCATTAATTTATGAATAATTAATTTTAATTATTGAAAATGTGTACTTGTTTCCACACCACCCAAGAGGTAAAGTATATGGCGCGTTTATTTTAACGTGGTCTCCCCGGAGGCCTACTCCACTAGATAAATTAAAAATTTTAACTTATCTGCACAAGACTGACGGATCTGGCTCATTCATGTCAAAGTCGATCGTGTCTGCTGTGCTGGGCTCATCAGGGTGGTCTCTCAATACGTCCAACTCTTCATCTTCAGCCGCCAGAGGGATATCTACAGGCAAGTCCAACTCCTCTTCATCGAATTCGTCGAGTGACACTTCAGTGACGTTGTCACAGGATTTCCCATTGCAGTATGCACAAATCATTGAACATTTTAATCCTGCTTTTCTGCATCCGCAGGCTTTACCATAGTTGTTGGTTTTGCATTTACAGGATAAAAATGCCAACAGGGATTTTGGAGCTAGATCTTTCAACGTTGTGACTGGAGTAATGCCTGTTTTTGTTTTCTTCCAAATCCATTCTTCGGCATCTTTGGTACAACCAGACCAATGCTGAATCTGGTGGTAAGTTCACAATGAATGCTGTCCAGCACGACAATTAATTATTCATAAATTAATGAGCGAATTAATGATACGCCACTGTTTCATGACAAAATTAAAGAAACTAAACTAAAACTAGTTTTAGTGAACCCTAATCGATATTTGATTTCGGAAAATCGACTATACATAATATATCATATTTTACGCAAAATTGTAAAATTTCCAGGGATTTTGTGCCTAAACGGTTGACTTCAGCGAAAATTTTCATGAAACCTTTTTTATAGGAAATTTTATTCCCTTTAATTTTGCTCTCCTCAAATTTTCGCGAAAAATGCATAGTTTTCGAGATATTCGCAAAATACCGATTTTGGGCGCCATCTTGGCAAGATGGCGGCGCCGGCGGCAAGTCTGGAAATGTGCATTTTATGGATTTTAGTTAGGGACCCCAAAACCTGTAAACCTGCAAAGTTTCAAAACTTCCGGACTTTTTTCCAAGCAGGCTCCTTTTTTGACCCCAATGACTGAACTAAATTTGGATTTTTTTTTAGTTTTTAGTTAAAAAATAATATTTCTTGATAATATGGCAATTTAGGTAGTAGATTATATTTACAAGAAAGATAACCCAGAAAAGATCCAGTGGTTCTCAAAATTTAAGCAAAAAATATATTTTTTTTGGAAACTTTCAAAGTAAAATAACTCGCTTATTTTGGACATATTTGAAAAAAGTTATTTATTTTTATCGAGATCTACCACCCCTTAAAATATCTGTATTATTTCTGGGACATCCTGAATAATAGTGAGGGTTGATCCTAATTTTTTTACGGATCAGTTTAAAACTGATCCCATATACGCACATACTTAATCCCGGAGCAGTTCTTGATATGAGGGTTGTCTTTTATATTTTGCATATAGAAACATAGTAGGCGATATAGAAATAGTTCCTTGAACTAGGTCTTTAGTTCACAATGGTTCCCGACTATCATTGACATCCCCGTTGCTTGCTAATGGGTTTCGTTGTCAGTCAGAACTATTCACAGTATGATCTGTATAATTTTTATAATGTTCGAAATATAACGAGACGTGTAATTGCGTATGTTAAAAACATATAGATAAGTTTTATTGCAGATGAAAAAAAATAAAATAGAAACTCAAATCAGAGTTTAAGAAACTATATCACAAATCAATTAGAGTAAATAATACGAAAAATTGCATTTTTTCTCATATTTCTTAATTTTAGGGACCTAAAGTGATACATTCCCATAAAATATTCAAAGAACAGACTAAAAATCAAAAACAGCATCCACGACAATTTTCTATAGTAATTACGCCGGCTGCGGCTGTGGCAATAGACAAGGCCGAATCCATCGTCGTCACCTTGTATTATATCTCAGATCTGCCGACTGAATACATTCCCGTGAACTAGTCTTTTAATTAGTTCCTCTAGTTTTTCTCAGTCCTTTCGCTCCGGGACAGGTAACATATGGCTAGCACTCTCCACTCCCGCCTAGCATTGGGCTACGATCGCGCTGACCGATCCGTCGCCGTCGCATATTATTATATCGGTCACAGTCTCGATCTCGGAATAGGTCATGAGGAACTAGTTCTTTGAGAAACCGGGAACTCCTAGTTCCTTTCATTCCGGGGACGGAATAGTTCATTCGAACTAGTTCGTTCACGAACTACACACCTCTATGGAGAATACTTGGAAAACAATAGTGTTTAAAAGTTATCTACTGTTTTTTTTTCTACCTCTATAATATGCAAAATATAAAAGATAACCCTCGTAAAAATAGAAAAAAATTAAATTACTAAACTATTCTAAACCTAACATTGCCTGTTGTTGATTGCAGGGTGCCCACATGACCGTCATCGAGTCCATCATGCTGCTGTACGCCCGCGAAGTGGTGACCGGCGACCGCGTGCTGGCCGCCGTGCAGCGCTTCGGTCACGGCAGGCCGTCGACGCCCGCTTCCGCCGCCCCCGCCACCCACGAGCAGGGCGTGCTGCTGTGGGCGCAGCACGCGTGCGACGCCCTCAGGGAGCGAGTGGTCAGGGAGGTGGCGGGGGAGTCGCCGATGGCCAACGGTGGTGACGTAAGTATTATACTCACAAGAACATTAACTTACACATAAATTCGGCATACTCTGAAATGCCTAGTCGTTTCACGTATTGCTGGCAAACAGTATTGGTACATCGTGTGACTGTGGAGCTCAGACATTCCCTGTAATAACAGAACTATTTCAGTGAAATGCAGTATAATTTGGACCATTTTCAGTTACTCTGTTTGCCATTCAGTGCATTATAAAATGACTGAACATGAAACATGAAACAACTGAAAAGATACAAGGACATTTTCCACGAAAATTTAAAGGGAATTAACATGCAGAATGAGTGGGAAAAAGCAGCTCACAATAGAACTCAATGGAGAAGGGTTGTAAACTCAGTTAACAGCGGCAACCAAAAAGTAGAGAGGCAACAAAGCAATGAGATTTTTGAATGTCCGGAGTGCGGTAGGCAGATAACATCACGTATCGGGCTTTTCAGTCACAGAAAAGCTCATGAAAGAAAACGCCTTGCGTGACCATTTTCTTTATGTGTGTCGAATACTCGTCAGCGAGTAACGGCTGTATGTATGTATGTATGTATAAAATGAACATTGAACATTATAAAATGCACTGAATGGCAAAGAGAGTATGTAAATATGTCACAGCATTTTAAGTAATTTTACAAGAAATTAGATGAATATTATTTAAATAAGAATAAGAAAAATGCTTGTAACGTAGCCGAATTCAGGAACGTAATAAAATTATATATCCGATATTTGCAAACATAATCTCAAACTACTGCAACCTACAAACCCGCTAACCAATTCGTACTCACTAGGGTTCAGAGACATCAAAGAACCGGGACTCTAAATTATTAATTCCCGGTTCTTTCGATACTTTCGGGACTCGGTAATAATAATTAAAAACTTATTTTTTGTTACGTACGAAAGACTTGATACTTTCTATTTCGGTCGAAATCGAACTCTTCTAAATAAGTAGTGATGTTTCTATATTGTTTATTAGCAATTATTGAAGTTTAAATATGTTATTTTATTATTTAGTATATAATTGCTGAATGTATTAATTATATTTTTTTGTGTTATGTTTTTACAGACATTTGAATCTTTAATTGAAAATGTTAAGCTTTTTTCTAATCTAGTTAAGTTGGTTTCGAGGTTGGTTGATGTTGTTTGATGTAATTTTTAAGCTACCTACAGTGGTGGCCAAAAGTATGGAAACTTTTTACTTTTTAAAATATCACAGAAAATATTGCTATGCTTAAACTCTCAGGAATATAAATGAACAGCTTATCAGCAAATAAAAGTATTCCAAAAATTACACAGCGAAAAAAATCTGTTTAGAAGTTTTTGTAGGAGAACAATAGATTTCTTGTGGCCAAAAGTATGGAAACCATAAATAAATACATTAAAATTATTTAGTTTAAGCTGATAAACGGTACGATTTGCTTCAGATAAATATAAATATCATGCCCAAGTCTAAATATTTCTCTACGGATTTAAAAAATAAAATAGTTGAATTATACAAGAGCGGTTATAAACAAATTCAAATAAGTAAAAATTTAAACATTTTAAAAGGCACCGTTTCGAAAATAATTCGTAAATTTAATAAAACAGGGAACGTTTCAACAGCTTTTAAGTCCAAGAAAGTTGTGCAACAGGACAATGAAAGTAATGAAGAGAATATCAATGGGAGATCCAAGAAAAACATCCACAGACATTTCTCGAGAAATGGGTGAAAGGGGAATATCGGTGTCTGCACGCACGGTGAGAAGAAGGTTGGATGACATGGGACTTTTTGGAAGAGTTGCGGTGAAGAAACCACTAATATCAAAGAAAAATAGGATGGCCCGCTTTAAATTTGCTCAAGATCATCTCACCTGGTCTTATCAGAAATGGAATACTGTACTGTTTAGCGACGAAAGCAAGTTTCAACTGTTTGGTAGTGACGGGAGACGTTATGTCCGAAGACCAAAAGGTACACGGTATAGCCATAAGTACCAGATGCCCACAGTAAAACATGGGGTGGGAGTATATAATGGTATGGGGGTGTTTTCTCGCTCAGGTGTTGGTCCTCTTGTTAAAATTGATGGGATAATGGACCGTTTCTTGTACAAAGACATATTGGAGAATAATATGCTGCCTCATGCTGATGAAGAAATGCCACTCAGATGGTTGTTCCAGCAAGACAATGATCCCAAGCACAAATCTCGGTTTGTTCAAAATTGATTAAATGAACATAATGTTCCACTAATGGATTGGCCCTTACAGTCTCCGGATCTTAACCCCATAGAAAATTTATGGGACCATTTGGATAGCAAAATTCGAAGCCATTCTATTTCAAATAAAAATGAATTATGGGAAGTGCTAAAAACTGAATGGGCGGCCATTTCCAGTAAAGATTGTACGAGATTGATCGATTCGATGCCACGAAGATGTAGAGAAGTAATTAATTCAAAGGGATATTCTACAAATATTAGTAACTTTTATATTATCTTGAATTTTAATAAACATTCTTCTTAAGTTTCCATACTTTTGACCAAGAAAATATTCATAATTTTTTATATACTTTTTGATAGCTGTAATTTTTTATTTAAATGTATTAGGTTTTGTAGGAAATTATTTGTAGGTCACGATTATATAAGTCGTTTTATTTCATATTTTAATTTCTCAGCATAAATGACAAATTAAAAAAGTTTCCATACTTTTGGCCACCACTGTATGTATTTTCTTTTTTAGCCGACCATACCGACAGGTATGGTAGGCTATTAATATCGGCAAAAAAAAGTTTTTTTAATTTCACTCAAAATGAATTATTTGGGTCATAAATGACCTAAATACAAAATATTTTCATGGTGTCTGTTTGTGTCTCCGTCTGTACGTCTGTCTGTAACACGATAACTCAAAAACCGCTAAACCGGTTTTAACCAAATTTGGCACAAAAATACTGTGGCACCCGATAATCTGGCTCTTAGTTTTTGGTGGGGGTGAGTTGTTGGTAAGGGGGTATTGGAGGGGGTTAAAAATTTAAAAAATCGTAACTCCAAAATTACAGTAGCTAGCGAACGCGGTTTTCAATTTAAGATTAGGTAGTTTGTCAGGAAAAGCCTGGGCTGCGGATCCAGAACTCAAATGGTTGGAACCAATTTTGAAAGACCAGTTTCCGAAAAGGGCTGATGAGCCTGAAGATTGCAATAGGACGCGTGATGACTGCCAGAACGACGAGGGTTGCTGCTGTCTTGACGATGAGAATTTGGTCACTATATGAGTAGGAGTGCTACAATTTTCGCTTCGCTTTTTTTTGTATGCATTTTCCAGATGGAAAATTGCCAGTTATTCAGTTGACGCTTTAGGAAATGTTAGCTGAAATGTTAGCAGTCTTATGACTATTAGTATTACTATTTTTAAGTTATCTTTAGAGGCTTAATTTGTTTAACGACAATCATAATATTTATATATTATTTTTTATTATAATTTTTGTCCACTGGAGACAAACTATTATTTGTCCAATGTTTTTTTTTGTTTATATGTCAAACTATTTGCTATTGTTGAATAATATCCAGTAGTTTAAAACAATATATTTTTCAACATTTTTGAGCTTTTACTTATTCCGGTATAGTATATAGCAAGCGAGCAGTAGATTTTTGCTTTTTCTGAAAAATATGTAAAATGGACAAAATTCGATTAGAAAGTCTGCTCCTCAAATATTCAACTGGTACATCGTTTTAGACAACCGTTTTGATAATAATAAAAAATAATACAAGTGTATGTTTTATTTATACCACCAATTTCAAAATATCCACTTTTCCATTACAAAAAATTTGATAACTAGGCACATTTCTACGGTAATCGCAAAACAATTTCCGATGCACGTAATCCACTTCAAGTGACAAGCAATGGCGACAGCGCTGCCAGATGTGATGGATTTATGAGATGAATGTTAATTTAATATTGACAAACAATATATTTATTATATCATTTTTTAAAGATTTTTACCTTTTATTTTTAATTTAATAACTAATATTTTAGTAATTAATTGATTTGTTTGTTTTATAGCTTATTTTACTTATGACATATTGGCAAAAACTAGTCCATTATGAAGATTATTCTAAGCGTTATTATGGGTTATTTATTTATTTATTGATGTACATCTTGCAATACCATAAGTATCAAACAAATAATCACAGAATTTAATAAAAACTAACGTAGAAATAACTTTGAAAGTGGTATAATATGCTTATCAATCAAATTTACTTCTCTAACTGCAGTCAAGGGTAATAAAGGACCTTTATTGTCACGTTCTCGTTCATAATACTTTATCAGGTATGGTACAAGCTCTTTGCTTCGACTGTTTAAATGCTTTGGCATATTTTCAAACACACAATTTCAAAAAATGCAATACAAAACTCGAAAATTTAGTTCTTAAAAGAACTGTTTGTGCTTGAAAGTACAATTTTTAAAAAAGACTATGAAAATAGGCAAAAAAAACGAGAATTACAAAGATTCAACAACAACACGATATTGTAGAAAATAATGACTGACATTAGGATAATTGTCAAGTAATAAACGACAACGTTGCTGAACACGGCGCAATGTGACCAATATAGCGAGAATAAAATTCGCAGAATAAAAGATAAAATAACATAAATAAATATAAATATAAAATAATATAAAATAAAAACATAAAATATCTGTTACAATCATTATTTGCTCTGTACAGAAATTATAAAAACTGTTCGGTATCTTAAATTATATAACAAATTTAAACATTTTTGCCAAAATTTAATTTAGTCAGTTTTATAGGCTTTATAGTGTCAATGTCGATATGATTGATGACGTGCATCGGAAAATGTTTTGCGATTACCGTATGTATTTTTTATCTTAATTACGAAAAATACATTACATTGGTGCACTAACAGGCAACACTGTCTTAAATTTAATGACATGACTAAAACCGGCAAACTTGGTAACTTAAATAAATTTAGTTAATTACGGCGCTTGACTGAAATATTCCGTCATTCCATGGAACGACTGAGATCCACAGTCAAAGGATGTATCAGTCGAATGTTATATTGTTTGCCGGCAATACTTGAATTGACTAGGCATTTGGAAGGAAATAACGAGATTCTCTGTAGTATTTTGGAAAATATTTTAATTTATTAGTTTAACACATTTGTAGTTTAATGAAGTATGCTATAATAAAATTATTAACTATAATATGTATTTTTAAGTAATAAATTAAGATTTCCTAACAAGAAAGAATGATATATTCGTTTTTGTCTTAACAGTGAATCTACGGAATAAAATACCGACTGTCTTGTTAGATTACCGTCAAAAGTTAATTGCTAGTTACTACAGACCACGCAACGCTGATAAACATTTATTTAATGCATGTAATTTGTACTGAAGCACTTGTCTACTTCTCTTGTTTGCTTACTGGCTTAATGTATACTGTTTTTAAGTGATCTTAGTTAGTCTACCTCAGAGGCACAAAGGTTGTTGTTCAATTCAAGAACAATTTGTAGACATAATTTTATTGTCAGATCTGTTTTAAATAAAACGCTGTTGGCTTTAAAATTTCGCAAGGATAACGGTTTCGGTAGTAGGTATTTTCTTTGAAATATACATGCTTAACTCAAAAACTGTTATTAAATAGTTAGACCCATTTTTCTTACCCTTGGATTCTTTTCTTACCCTTGGATATACAAAAAGAAATTAAAGAAAAAACAAGGAGATATATTTTTTTTATTATTTTATTTCAAATTAAGAAAAAATTATTTTCCTACTTTCTGTATATCGCCATCTAATTTTATTTTACATAAAATGCCGTTTATTTATTTAGAAAGTCTATTATATACCGGATGCGTCTCAAAAGTGGCTCTCCCATATAACTTTTTTACTTTTTCAGATAAAATAAACAATATTTGGTATGTTAGTATATGACATAAATTAGGATTGGCTGACGTATACAATTGTTTTTGGCCACTTCCTGTTTCACCGGAAATGACTACAACTTTTGATTTTTAAATAGCACGGTCGGTATTTTTTTACTTTATTCGATAGAAAATGACACTCGATGATGACATTTTGATCATATGTTAACTTTTGACATTTTCGCTTAAAACAAAATTGTATTTTAAGTTTCAATTTGGAGTGCCATGGCTGTTAAAAACACTAATTTTTAATCAAGGAGCCTTGGAAAAAAAGATTTGATCGTCTAATGTTTTTAGTGTATTGTCCTGATCGGTTCAAAGATGCCCAAATCGTATTTTTAATATATAAATATTAGAATAAAGTAAAAAAAATACCGATGGTGTCATTTAAAAATCAAAAGTCGTATTCATTTCTGGTGAAACCGGGGGTTAAGATCATAATCATAACAGTAGACAAACGATCATAAAAGTAAACAACAATTTAAGGGTCAAAATTTGAATTGAAGAAAGTGGTAGCAAAGAAAAAACAGTAACAAAACTTAACTACGGATGTTTCTTATAGTCTAATTAGTAATTATATACCTATTGGATCTTTTTTTATTAGTTTGAATTAATAATTATTAGTCTTTTTATTTGTTAATCATACACAATAATTTTATATCAATTATAATGCTAACATTGAGGAAGTCGGACATTTTGATAATGATTGAGTAAATATGTCATACTGATTGGATAGGATATTAATACAGTGAGATTAATAGCATAATGATGAAGTGCGTATCATATGAATAATGCAGTTTACATATCTTTATATGGGCTAGATTTAATTGGATATGAATGTCATTATCCATATTAACTTCCTCCTGACAAATTATAGATTTTCTAATTTTATTATACTGCTTTTTTTATTATAATAACGGAATTCCATATTTGTAATAATACTGAAATAACAAAGAAACCTGGATTTATATCGATTATACCCATATTCCACTGCTCCTAATATTACAGATATATTAATGTGTGTGTAACATTTACACATAAATATTTATTTTATTATCTGTTTAGAAAATTATTAGTTATTAAATTTTTAATAATTTCTATTTTCCCTCACATTGAACAATTAGGAAATATTTCGTTTATTTGTACTAAATCCAAAAACGAATACATTTTTAATGAACTAATATAGCGCCATTAGGGACTTAATGAAGATGAAAGTAATTTAAAAATTAAATTAATAATTCTTAGAGGGTCTAGTAGATTTTTTCTGGATATAGATGTATATTCTAGAAGAAATCTAGTCAAATGATATAAATAAATCAAAATTAAAATAATTGGACTTAGTGTGTTTTGCTTGTAAACCGACGAAATATTAAGCATACTTTATAAGGCACAATTTTTTATGTATCGTATGATGAAAAAAAAAATAGCGTAAACACGGCTGGGAAAGGACAATCGATGATAATTTTGGCGAGGTCAATCTCTAGACGTCATTTAGTAGAAATTGACATAAATTGTCAGAAATTAATACTAATTATTGAAAGATTAAAAAAGGATAGACGTTTCCAGACACACAAATCTCTCCCCAATAATTTTTTTTCTCGAATTTTAAATTATACTATTTAATATTGAAAAGCGTTTTTACTCAATATAAAAATACGAATAAATTACAACCTTCTTAAGGCCAACTGGCAGTAAGAGCCCTTAACAAATAAAGAAGAGTACGGACCAAGAAAATGCCGTTTAGGGCTTGGCCTCGCCAAAATTATTATCGATTGCCATTCCCCAGCCGTCTTTGACGTCGTTTTTTTTCGATCGTATGGTATAATTTCTTTTAATAAAAATATATGTTTTTGATATACAGGGTGAGTCATAAATAAGTGCAAATATTTTTAGGGGCTCGTATGTATTATTTATTTATATTTCGATCTCAGAAACACTTTGAAAAAACTTTGTGTTGTTAAAATGTTAATTGTAGTTACTTATTAGATCCTCCTGTATTGACGCCAGGCTGCGCCGCTGTTAAAAAAACATAATATCTTCATAATATGGCAAGATAGGTAGTAGATTAAATTTACAAGAAAGAAAATCCAGGAAAAGATACAGTGGTTCTCAAATTTTAACCAAAAAAATATTTTTTCTTAAATTTATTAGGGTGTACCAAAAAAAATCTTTTTAGTTAGCCTGAAAATATCGTTTAGGTTAGGTTAGGTTAGGTTAGGTTGAAGTTGAACTTTACCCAATAACTTTCAAACGAGTCAGTTAAATGAAAATTTATATCAGACGTTTTTTGAAGAGAAGACCGTTCAATTTACTACAAGGCTATGTATTGATTTTTAAAAACGCAATAAAATTAAAAAAAAAAAGAATTTGTTCCCCATGTTATTTAAATGGGAAATAGAAAATCACGATGAGGCACCTCTTAATATTAATATTAAAAGCTCAAACTTTACCAGACTTTTTTTTCATCATCCTGAACGATAATTCCATTGTTACTAAGAAAAAAATATTATTTTTTTTGACGTACCCTGCTATGTTTGGGAAACTTAAAAAACATAGTTTAGCAATAAAAATAAAAAATCGGATAAAACAGTATTATTTTCTTTATAGGGTGACCGCTTGAAACCCCCCGACTTCCCCACGTGTCGCGACCTGAAGGACCTCTGCGACGGAGTAGGTCTGGCGGCCATCGTGGCCTACTACTGCCCCGACGAGCTCCATTGGGCGGAAATAAGGGTGTCGCCGGTACCGTCGGTCCAGGACAGCCTGCACAACCTCAGGCTGGTCAGGGATTTTTGCCAGCGGTGTTTGCCCGCCTTCATTTTCCACCTCCAGCCCGAGGATGTTACTTATTTAAGAGAGTAAGTGTATTTTTTGTTGAGAAATCTATTCGATTTATTTACTACCAGAGCCTTTGTTCTTGAAATAAGAAAAAAATTAAAGGTATATGCTAAAGTCGCGATGTTATTTTCGAACAGTTATTTAGAAGTAACAGTTTGTAGGAGTTGTCACTTCCAAAATATAACAGCTTTGAAAATAACAGCTGAAAGCAATTGATCGTGTCGCGCCACGAGTCTGGCAAAATACCCTATTTGCTAGTTAGCGAATCGCCATTACTGTTATTCACCGTTGATTGAAAGAATTGGGAAGATACGCAACCTAATGGGCGAATTCGCGACAAGGCTGATTTGATTTCCCGTTACGTCTTAAGGGCTGTACGATGGAGACACCAATCGTTCCTCGGCCAACGCATAAAACACTTATTTTCTCTACTTCGGCCAGCGAAGGCATATCGAAGACGGTGTGGACCTGAATGCGACAGTGTTGCGATATTAAAATGTGTAATATCTGTAATATGTTTGACGAAAATATCTTTGGATGAAAAATCCGCGTTTATGTATTGAACATTTTTTCGTGTTAAACATAGAATAAAGAACAAAATAAAAATTCTTTTACTGTACTGAATATGTCGTATGATCGAAAAAAGTAGTTTAGTTGGCTTGAAAATGACGATTATTGACATTTACCATAATATTTTACATATGAAATAACAGCGATCTTCATTTTCAAGCCAACTCTGACGCCGTTCTTTGTTTAATCATATTATATTAAATTGTTTAATGATAGAAAATCCGTATTATTAACGTACTGTACCCAAAATCCGTAAAAATCTACGGATTAATTAATAGTTCTGGCAACACTGTCTCCGGCAACCACTCTGTCGACTGAAAGCAGAACTACGGTACAGTATTCTTTATCCGCTGCGCTGTAAACGACTATAAGCGCGCAGCGGCGCAGAGCTAAACTAAATCTCGGACAGGCTGATGGTAACGCCTGCTGCATCTCGGACAGGTTTTGTGCCACAAAACCGCTCATAAGGTTGCGCGTCTTCTTATTTCTTCAATCAACGATATTACTATTATTTCAAAAGCATAGCCAATAATAGTCTAGCAGTTTCTGTTATGGAATTGAAACTTTTGTGGGTTCCTGATATACTGATTTTTTTTTATTTTTTTTTCTGCTTAATTATTCATAACTAAATAGAAAATTACAGAGAGCTAATGAGCGTATTTAATACAATATACATTTATTTTAAGCTGTTATTTTTAATTTTGTCTAATTCTTCTATACAGGGTGAGTCTTAAATAATTGCTAATATTGTTAGGGGTGGTATATTTCGATCCCAGAAACAGGTCTGACTTTTTTTTTGCGAAAAAATAAATAAAAAAGATTGATTTTTAAAAATGTTTAGTAAAAAAACATAATATCTTGATAATTTGGCAACATAGGTGGTAGATTAAAAAATTATTTAATTATTAATTAAATAATTACATGATTACAAAAGAGAAAACACCGAATAATCCAGTGGTTCTCAAAAATTAAGCAAAAAACGTTTTTTTTTATTTTCAAACTAAAATAACCCGGTTATTTTGGACCTATTTGAGAGACGGTAGAGGAAAAATAATGTTTCTTTTATCGAGATCTACCAGCCGTGAAAATATTTGCACTTATTTGAATTTTAGACTCGCCCTGTATCTATAAGGTCTGTCGAAGGTCTGTGAAAAGTAGAAAACACAATTTACCTGTGAGTTAAAATGACAGACTTGTGGTGGTCTGTAATCGTGTATTTGGCTACGTGTTTAGACAACAACTGACACTGTTGTGGCTGTCATTTTATTAATATTGTCGGACATCTGTCATTTTAACTGATAGGTAAATTAAGGAGGTAAAGGAGCCAATGAGAGGATACTTAACAAGCTACGGGCTCATTGGACAGACTATTTTTATATTGTCTGCTAGAATATTATACCAGGATTCTGTATTAAGTAGAAAAATTTCATAAAAGTCATATCTAGCAAAAAAGATGAACTTTGAATATACAAATTACATAATTTTAATTTTATACTTTCCTGATACTAAAAGGAAGCAGTTTTTAGGTCATTCATCATCATCGTCATTCTCAACTTATTCAACCATTCACAATTATGGTGTACCCTCCCTCACATGTTTAGATACTCTCTTTGTAGTTGGGCCCATTGTTGTCTATAGTTGGCTATGTGGGCCCAAGTTATCCCTGCTAATTTCCTAATATCATGGTCCCACTCAGGTTTGGTCTTCTTCTAGGTCTCTTAATTCCTCGTGGGTACCATGCTGTAATTTTTGTGGTCCATCTGTTGTCCGTCCTTCTTGCCAGGTGTCCTGTCCATTGCCACTTGATAAATTTGAATCAGTGGATGACATCTATTACTTGGATCTTTTGTCCACTTTATTCTTTTACGGTCTCTCTTGGTTATTCCCAGCATATTTCGTTCCATTGAGCGTTGTGCGTGTAGAGATCCCGAGCTGTGTTTTAGTTGTCCCCAATATATTTATTCTTCTACTATTTCCAGTTTTGTGTTATTAGAATGTCTTTTGTGTTGTTGTACACTAGTTTTTGTTACATTATTTTTGAGACCTACTTTATTGTTGGCTGTATTTAGTTCGTTAATTTATGCTTGTAGTTTTTCAGGGCTATTGACAATTAGGACTTAACCCAGGTCCAGTCCAGTTGACGGAAAATTTCTTCTAGTGTTGCTGTATACAGCTTTGGTGATATCGCGTCTCCCTGTCGTACTCCTTTGCCAGTTGGGAACTTTAGAGTTGTTCTATACAGGGTTGTTCACCACATACGACACGGAGTATTGTAGCTAAACGATTAGATTTTTACAAATTGTAAGTTTTGGGTTCGTTGAAGGACTATTAGAGCTATAATTTAAAAATATCTTTACAAGATACAGAGGGTCCTAAATAAATAAAAAATATCAAAGTTGTATTTTTTTAAATGGAACACCCTGTATATTATTGTATTTTTAGTTTCTACGATTAAAATAAAGGCAAATTTGATTAAGGTTTATTACACTTAAACCTTACCGTTTTTGAAATATTTTCAATTTTGTGAAATTGCAGTATAAATTTTAAGTCAGTTGAAATAGTTTTCTTTTTGCATTTGTATGCAAAAAGAAAACTATTTAAATCTTTATAAAAGAGTATACCATTAATTAAATATAGCACCAGTATTTCCGCCCAAATACTAATTAATTACATACTTAATTGTGTTCGTTAATAAATTATTCTAAATAAATTTGGATTTGAATCAGAAATCAATATAATAATAAGTTATGAAAATGAACGTCTCAGTTATAAATAATCATTTTTCAAAAAATGAAATATCGTTTTTAAGGTGTTAGTTTTTTTACTACACTGTCTAATACACATACATAATTCAGTTTTTTAGTATTTGGAGCAATTATTATTAATCAACGCAAACAGTCAATTAATATACATAGTTTGAATACTGGAATCATATTCTTTAACAAATATTTAAACAGTTTTTTTTTAATTTTTTAATGAAACAAACGAACTATATCGACAATATTAGTATCTGTACTCTTTAAAAATTTGGTACATCTTTAAAAATAATCTAAAATGTCAGTATTCCATGGGTATATTGATAAATGAGTTCTAAATTACAAGAAAATGCATTTTCTACGGAAACTTGAAGAGATAGGTAAAGAATGGTGTAATACAATTTGATAGACAATTAAATTGTGCATTTGATTCTCATAAAATATACAGGGTGTTCCATTTAAATTAAACAAGTTATTGCCGTTTAAAGCTAATAATTATTTAAAATAAATGTTTAGACACTCTGTATAAGGTAGTAAAATTTTTATTATTGCAACACAATAACTGATCAATAAATAAACTTCAGTAAATATTTAGTATTAAAAACTTTGATACCCTCGGAGAAATGAAGCCTTAAAATTTATACTGCAATTTCACAAAATTGAAAATATTTCAAAAACGGTAAGGTTTAAGTGTAATATAACTTAATCAAATTTACCTTTATTTTAATCGTAGAAACTAAAAATGTAATAATATACAGGCTGTTCCATTTAAAAAAATACAACTTTGATATTTTTTATTTATTTGGGACACTCTGTAGCTTGCAAAAATATTTTTAAATTGTAGCTCTAATTTCCTTCAACGAACCCAAAACCTACAATTTGTAGAAATCTAATCGTTTAACTACAATATTCCGTGTCGTATGTGGTGAACAACCCTGTATATATTATTACTCTTACAATTTTTAGTTAATGGCGTCTAAAGATTGACCTCGCCAAAATGATCATCGATTGTCATTCTCCAGCCGTCTTTGGCGTCGTTTTTTTACCATACAGTACTAGTCTTGTTTTAATGGTGAATTGGTATTTTATTTTGTCCAATAAGAGAATAATTGATTTAGACAGACATCACTCTAAAAACGACAGAATAATTATCGTTACTGTCATAATTATATTCTTTCGCTGTACAAATTATACATACCGTATGATACGATATTATTTTTGCTTTTTAATTTTAAATCCAATATAACATCCATTAAATAATTATATTATAATCTGCCCAATTACCATGCATAATTTAATGCCGTGCATATGAATATTAATATCGTTATTTATTTTCAGGTCTATGAAATTAAATTTAGTTGTTTTCTTGGCCGATTTGTTTAATGTTATGGAAATCCATCCTGCCAGTTGCGTCCGTGATAAAATTAGCAGCGGTAAGTAAAACAGTTCGACAATAAGCCTCTGACAAGTTACGCTTCTTCGTTACTTTATGTTGTTTATTTTTGCTTCTGTTTTTTTTTGGTTATATTGCTTTTTAACTGAAACCATACGCTGTAGTTGGGAGGAAATGGGTATACAAGACGATTTTTCTGACATGACGGTCATAAAAAGCTACCTATGACTGGCCAATAGAAAAACGGTATGCGCATGGCTACGGCTTGGTAAAAAACGAGAAACTCCACCAGTCAGGTTGGTTGAATCAGGGATGTCATGATTTGATAAAAAATAGTCTTACAACGTCCAGTGACAGATTTTTGACAAAAAAATAAATGAAGTTGAAACTTAAAAATGGAAACAAAACAAGAACTCTTAAGGTCTTAACCTAAATGTAAACTGACGCATATGAATTTTTCTTCTTCCTCAAGCACGAGTCAAGGGTGCATATGCTTGCGTGGTCTTAGATACAGAGGCTATTAAACCATGGACCATAATACATAATTTTCAGAAAATTAAATTAACTTTTGTAATTTTCACTTCATTATATACAGGGTGGTCCGTACTGTATTCCGGAAACTTCGGTAACATATTCTGCAGATAAAAACAAGTAAAAAAGTTTGTATAAACATATGTCCTAAAATGCTTAGTTTCTGAGATACAGGGTGTAGAAGTTTCATTTTTATTTCGATTTTTTCCAAATAATTTCTGAAGTAACGTCAATATTTGGATGAAAATTGGCGTCTGGGAGTTTTTTGGCATAAGAAATTTGATTTTGATGTTAATATTGTTACGTTTTTCGTCGGTTCCGTGTGGATAGAAAGTCACAATTTATTTAAACACTATTTATTTAACACTAATTAACAAAAACAATAACGATAAAAGACTTATAGAACTATTTACAAACGATTTATAACTAATTTATAACTAATTTATTTTTGAATTTTAGCGCGTCAACTGCACTGGTATATTTATAACTGCCCTCTCTAGGCCACTGCCGCCGGCTTTTATACCGACAGGTAAAAGAAATCTAGAATAGTCCAAAGATCGTTAGGCGCATAGAGAAGGTTTTCGAATGTTCTCGTATGTACTAGTCCATTCTAGTGGGTCTCGATTCTTCTCGAACGAATGAATCATTGCGGTGTCTATGCGATGTTAAGGTCATCCGAGGGCGGGCCATATTGTGAGGTTAGGTCGAGTCCACACCGGCTCGCAACACTGCCCCTTCTTAGGCACATGCTCGTCCCGAGATGTATACGGTGAATGAAGGTATTTGCAAAGCTGGCCCCTGGTACATTGCGAAGTCTGGTAGAAATAGCAGTCTACAGTTTTCTCTCCCGATCTCAGCTTTGGGTTGTAGCAGCAAACGAGGATCTCGATTCCCGTAAATCTGAACAAGACTTCAATCATGTTCCGGATTGTACGCCAACTCAAACCATCGAGTCCACACGCCAGCTTCGGAATGGCTAATCGTGCAATGTTGTTGTTTAGCAGGGCTTCTCTCAGTTCAATCAGGGTCTTCCATAGATTGAGATAAGTCGGCTTACTCGGGGACCATTCCTTGGTGACCAGGTAGAAGATGTGCCTTGCTTGACCATGTGCATTGTCGGTTAGCCTCAAGACGCTTCCAACCTCTGGATCCTGTCGGCGTAGTTCTCCGACACGCCCAAACTTCTCATTGAACGTCGCAGCGATTCCTCTGGACATCCGCAAATCTCGAGCCACACAATGAGCGAGCGAATAATCAGGAGGCACGGAAAAGAGGTCTCGTTGATCTTCTTTGGTTACACCATAGCGAGCCTTCTCACTGCTGTTGTATCGGGCCATGAAATCGTCAAAGGACATCTCCGAATCAGGGGGATCAAAGCTGCAGGTTCTCACGGTCCCAGCACGATCTTCTATTTCGCCTTGGTAGGGGCTCAAACGGTTGAAATGGACTACCCTCGGTTTTCCTTTTGGCAATTTTCTGATACGGTATACGACGTCATTAATTCTATCCATGACTTCGTATGGCCCTTCCCACGAGGATTGTAGCTTCGGAGATAACCCACGACGTCTCTGCGGGTTATATAGCCACACCAACTTCCCTGGTTGGTATCCTCCATGCTCAGCTTGAATGTCGTAGTGTTCCTTCATTCGGTCACTAGCACTTTGAATATTTAGGCGGACTCTCTGATGAATGTCGTCCATCCTTTGACGTAGTGTGTGGACATAATCTTCTCCGGCGACTTCTTCTCCCGGTCGGCAACCAAATTTCAGATCACAGGGTAGGCGCACTTCCCGTCCCATAACGATGCTGGCTGGAGTTTGCCCTGTAGATTCTTGGACGGATGAACGGTAGGCCAACAGGAACAGGTGAAGAAATTTGTCCCAGTCTCTTTGGTGGTCAGAGACTACTTTGGCCAGATAACGGTTGATAGTTCTGTTCATGCGTTCAACCATCCCATCGGATTGTGGATGTAGAGCAGTCGTCCTGGTCTTGCGGATGTTCAGGACTTCACAGACGCCTTGGAACAGATTGGACTCAAAGTTTCTTCCCTGATCTGAATGAAGCTCCATGGGAACACCAAACCTGCAGATCCATTCTTTAACAAGGGCATCAGCAATCGTGGACGCTTCTTGATTTGGCAACGCGTAGGCCTCGACCCATTTGCTGAAGTAATCCATTACTACCACAATGTATTTGTTGCCATCGTTCGTCTCCGGGAAAGGACCAGCCACGTCGATCGCTATTCGTTCGAAGGGACTACCAACATTGTACTGGCGCATAGGGGCTTTACCACGCTTTTGTGGCCCATTAATGGCTGCGCAAATGTCACATTTCTTACACCAGGCCCTCACATCTTCTTTGCAGTTCACCCAGTAGAACCGTTCACGCAGCTTGCCAAGTGTCTTGGTAACACCAAGATGTCCTCCGCTGGTTCCATTGTGAACTTCCTCCAAGACTTCTGGGACCCTCTTCTTTGGAATGACGATCTGCCTCTCTTCTTGTCCCTCCGGTCTCTCGATCACACGGCGAAGTAGTCCGTTATCTATTACCAAGGAATTCTACTGGGCCCAGTACGACTTTACGTTCGGCGAATATCTGCAAACTTCTTCCCACGTTGGTCTTTGGCCTGTGTTTTTCCAGTTAATTACTAAACCTAATTCTGGGTCACTGGTTTGGTCATTTGCAAGATCTTCGGGTTGCCAACTATCATTAACCACAGTTGTTCTTAGGAGTTTCACTTCTTTCTCTTCTGCTCGGGAACAATGCTTACAGTCCTTAGCGCAAGGTCTTCTGGAAAGTGCGTCGGCATTTCGATGGATTGCCCCAGCTCGATGTTCTGTGTCGAAGTCAAATTCTTGTAATCGTTCAATCCATCTAGCTACCTGCCCTTCAGGATTCTTAAACTGCAACAGCCATTTCAAAGCAGCATGGTCTGTTCTTAACAAGAACTTTCTTCCATAGAGATACTTGTAGAAGTGTTCCACTGCTTTAACTACTGCTAGTAATTCTCGTCTGGTTACACAGTAGTTCCTTTCCGGTTTTGACAAGGTCTTACTAAAATAACCAATGACTTTTTCTTGACCATCCTGGATCTGAGACAGAACAGCGCCTACCCAACATTGCTAGCGTCGGTATCCAATATAAAGTTTCCGTTGCCAAGAGGATAGCTAAGTATGGGCGCACTAGTCAGGGCCTTCAATCTTCGGAATGCCTCGTCAGAATCTGAGTCCCAAGAGAAACGCCTTTCGTCTTCGGTAAGTCTGGTCAATGGTTTTGCGATGGTGGCGTAACCTTGTACATAGCGGCGATAGTATGTGCATAGTCCCAAAAAGCTTCGTAGTTCATGTTTGTCTTTGGGTATCGGCCACTCTTCCACTGTCTTGGTCTTCTGTGGATCTACCGCAACTCCCTGGGAGGAGACTACATGGCCCAAGTAGTGTGTACCTTTTCTTGACACAGATGACATTTCTTGGGGCTAAGTTTCAAACCAGAGCTCCCTAGTCGCTTGAAAACTTCTTCCAAATTCTTCAGATGATCGTCAAAGGATTTCCCAACCACTATGATGTCATCCAGGTACACGAAACAGGTAGTCCAGGATAGTCCCTTTAACACAGACTCCATTAGTCTCTTAAAGGTAGCTGGCGCGTTGCACAATCCAAAAGGCATGACAGTAAATTGCCACAGTCCGGAGCCCACCGAGAACGCTGTTTCCTCTCTGTCTTGGCGCCATGTCGACTTGCCAATATCTTCAGATCCAAAGTAGAGAATATCGTCGACCCCGCCAGCGTGTCTAGAGTATCGTCTATCCTCGGCAGGGGATAGCTATCCTTCTTTGTAACATTATTGAGCTGCCGATAATCAACACAGAACGTGGTGGTACCGTCTTTCTTCTTTACTAGTACTACCGGCGATGTCCACGGGCTGTTAGATGGTTCGATGACACCCTCTTCTTTCATTTCTCGAAGGATTTTTTCAGCTTCTTCAAGTTTGGTAGCGGAAGTCTTCTCGGATTTTGTTTGATTGGTCGTGCATCTCCGGTATCAATTTTGTGTTGTACTAAATTGGTACGACCTCTCTGTCCTGCTTCTCCTTTATCAAACACATCTTGATACTTGATTATCAGGTTTCTCAATTTTCTTCTATTTTCGGGAGATAATCCTTTAACGTTTACTAACTCCTTCACCATTTTGTCCGGAATTTTTGAAGTCGAAACTTTGGAGGCTTCCACGCTTCGAACGACTGAGGAGACCGAACAACAGTACCCTAAGAGGGTTCCCTTCTTCAAGGATACAGAATAATAATTCGTGTTCATTACTCTCACCGGTACAGTTTTCTTCGCTCGTAGCAGGGCTTTTCCAACAGCGATCCCTCGTCCTATTTCGCTGTCATGGTTCCTTGGCTCCAACAGAATAATACTCCCATTATTCATTTTACCTTCTAGGCAACCATCCAAAAATATCTCACAGCGCTCAGGGATCGAAACATCTTCTGCTACCACCACGCGAAGCG